GACAAGCAAATGGTTCCATTTACTGGTCAGTGTGCCAGTATGTATGGTTCCATTTACTGGTCAGTGTGCCAGTATGTATGGTTCCATTTACTGGTCAGTGTGCCAGTATGTATGGTTCCATTTACTGGTCAGTTTGCCAGTATGTATGGTTCCATTTACTGGTCAGTGTGCCAGTATGTATGGTTCCATTTACTGGTCAGTGTGCCAGTATGTACCGTACAAACCAAACCAAACCCAACTGGATTTAAAGTGTTCGTCATGACTGCATCATGGTCTGGTCCCAGACTTTGTACCAAAGAAAGACCACCTTCAGAGTTAGAAGAGGGTTAGGACATTGAAGAACAAGCTGTTATTCATTTGGTAAAGTCTGTTCCCCAAGAAGCCCACCTGTTCTTTGACAGGTTCTTTCAGGACGGCCTGTTGCACTCAGAAAAGGACAGAGCACTTTTCACTTTCTGGACCTGGAAATCACCAACTCACGTCTTCAGTACTTAGTAACTACCAGTTTCTGTGACTTCAAACTTCTCCAAACAGAAATCACAAGTGAAAGTGAAATGACTAACTCTTAGCAAAAAGTACTATACTTGAAGTTAAGGATACTTAAGTATAAGGGCTGCAACGATACAGAAAATTCACGAGTCGCTTCGGTTTAATACTTTAGTCTCACGGTTCGATATTTTTTTGATACAAAAAAGAGAAACGTCCATGCCCCTTTTAACTTGTAATTTATTTAAATTAATTATGAACATTTGTTTAACCTCAAAAGTCCAGTTTTTAAATTAAATGTTGCTGAAACAGCAAGTTTCTCAGTGGATCTGAGCTCAAAAATACAGCCTAGGTGGAGTAGTCGAACACAGATCCACTGATCCTTCAACACAGAGCATCTTTAGAAGACAAGTTGATAAAGTTAATTTAAATATCTGTATTGTTCCATACAAGTGTGTGTTGAACCTAAAGCACTGTTCGATACGGGTACATGTGTTGTTGCACCCCTAACAGTTAGGTTTGGTGAAAACTGAATGATTCCAACATCAAGCATGTTTTAAAGAGATGTTGCTGTATATTAAATGAGGCATGAAAAGAATATTTCACTGTTTATTTAGATTTTTCATGGCTGAAATGTCTTCAGTAGCTCACATATCAGATCATATTTACTTTGACTGAGTAGTTCTGTGATAAGTTGTTTGTACAGATTATGGTGGATTCGGTTCTATTCAGTTGACCTGTGAAGACAAACATCATTATCAGGGAGCTCAGGTGAACAATCTGGAAACAATCCAACAGAGCCGGTTTTAGCAGCAAAGCAAACGTCAGCATAGTTCCAGCTCCTGACTTCAAAGCCTTTTGATTTGACGTGTGTAGTCCTTCCAAAGGTTTGACAGTAATTCAGGCTGTGTACTACAGACAAACTGTTACTTTTCCAACGCCTTTCAATGCTGAATCCATCTGAGGTCAGTGAAGACATTAAAGCTCAGCATCTGAGAGACGGAGGAATTCACTTAGTAAATCTTCACACAATCTGAATCACATCTAAACTCATTCCTTAGTTTTCAGCAGAAGCATCAAATCAAGATCAGGTTTAAATCTGCAAACAAATGAAAAAGCATGTTTTGGCCCAATATTCTGACCAATGCATCCCTCCAAGTCCGCGTGTCAGACTGTCATTCCTGAACACAAAATAACTACTAAATACTACATGGAATATATCAGCCAGGGCGTGCTGCTGCACTGAAACTTGAACCTTCGTCATTCTGAGTTGAATGAAAAGACAGAACGCAAATCTTAAAGTGCCTGTGACATGATTTTTTTAAAATAAACATAAAGGCATTATCGGAAAGATAACAGTGTTAACATATTGGAAAAATGATTTCCCTCTGCTGAGATGAACACTTGTTGAGTTATTTACATGTGAAGTAACAGGAAGTGATGTCAGAGGGGAATGTCTGCACTGAACAGAGCGTTGATAAAATATCTAATGACAGACTGTGGAGAGGAATCTGATGTTTCTTTAGATTATTTTGAGTCTCCATCAGAGAGACATGAAGACGGGTCAAAGCTCAAATAACATTGTTTCAATAAACAAAGACCACAGAGTTTTCTTTCTTAAAGAGTTCCCCTTTGATGTCACTTCCTGTTGCACTTTGGTTGAGCCAAGTTCAAAAGAAAATATGCCAGTTATGTGACAAAATGGGTAAAATCACATGTTTTATGTAAGGTTTCTTATATAAAAATGTGTTTTCTTTGACTTTTTGTATTCGATGGATAGGCATGTCACAGACACTTTAAGTTTGTTTTATCAAGTAGAATTCTCAGGATTTCATTTTTTTTTAAACTCAGACTACAGCTGCTGTTGTATCTGAACATATTACTGTGATGCCTGAACCTAACCAGTCTGTTTTTATTCAACAGGTCCTGAGACAAGCCATGGTGGACGGGGTGAACATTGACGTTGACGCTGTTGATGTCTTTGGTAGGTTTCATCTCTTTCTTCAGATTATTTTAAATAAATATTTTAACATTGTTTAACCTGGGGAATAAAATGTGAATTAGGAGACATTTTTAGAATAAAAAACTGAAGGGGTTAGGGTCAGGACCTCACTGTGGTTCACAAAACACCAATCAGGGTCCTCTCCAGAAGTCAAACATTATTTTTTATTCATTTATTTATTCATTTCATTAAAACAAAACTAACAATTTATATACAATAAAAAGAAAAATATAAAAAAGAAAATTTAGAAAAACAATATACGTGTATCAAAATCACAAATGAAATGAAAAGTAGCAGAGAGGGAGTTTTTAATGAGAAAGCACTGTATATGTTGTATAACACAATAACAGGTCCACACCTGGTTTATTGTGTTGGAGTCTGAGGGAAAGCATGTAGGATAATTACAAATCCTCTTTTTTTATTACAGAAAAGAGCTGTGAGAATTATTACTGGAAAATATTGTCACTACCCATCAAATTGATTATTTATAAACTGAAAATATTAAAATTTTTGATTTGGTTGATTATAATATTCCACTGGTTATGTCCACAGAAACACATTACCTTTAAACATCCAAGTAAATTTTGTTAAGAGAAAAAGTTGTTATAACCTTACAGGGACAGAGATATTTGTAAAACCCAGATTCAGAACTAGTTTGAGGGAACGGTGTACTTTAACACAGGGAATAAAACTGTGGGATGATTTGAAGAGTGATGTTAAAATGCAGGATCATTGTGTTCATTTAAGAAAATGATCATGGTTCGAGTGTTAAAAAAATATGAAACAGTATAAAATGCACTTATATTAACTGTTATCCTAGAGGGATTAGATGTTCTTGTCTTTTGTTTTGTTAATGATGCAGATTTTTGTTGTATGAACGTATTCTTGGGAGAAAAGGAGCAGATATAAGATTTTTTCTTCTCTCTGCTGCCTTTCATTTTATTTGTGATTTTCATACACATATATTGTTTTTCTAATTTTTCTTTTTCATATTTTCCTTTTTATTGTATATATATTGTTTGTTTTGTTTCAATGAAATGAATAAATGAATGAATATTTAATAAAAAATGAAAAGAAAACTGTGAAAAAGTGTAGACTTTGATAACAAAGTTCAAAAATGCTCCAAGAAAATTTGATGTTCTCACATTCTCAGGCTTGTTACCAGTGGAGTTTGTGTTAGTTCTGGGGTTATAACAGTTGGTTTGTTGTCAGGAATGAGTGCGCTGCAGTGTGCTGCTGTAGCTCTGAAGACCAACATGAGTGAGGTTAAAGGCAGCCTGTCTCCAGATCACAGCAGACTGCAGACACTTCGCCAGGAGTACATGAGGGAGACCCTGGAGTGTCTGCTGCAGATCAGCAGCTATCAGCATAGCACAGCCTGCCCAGCTGCTGCAGGTAGAAACCTGTTACCTGACCTCTTCACACGACTGGGATTAGACTCTTCTTCTAACACTCTGTTTTAGAAGCTGCAGGTTTATTTACTGTGAGTTAAATATGTTTGGAGGAAACAGTAACCAAACTAAGCACTGTGAAGTTTCTTTAGCTGTACTCTCATGAACGCTCTTTCTTTTAGCTCATTTCTTAGTTCATGTTGTCAGAAAATGAGTCTCAAGCAGAGTTTGAGTGTGGCTGTATGGAGTTTATCTCTAACTGACACTTTAAAACCAGACGTTTGACAACCTTTTCTTTCCTTTTCAGGGGAGCTGACGAATGAAGTTCAGAGTTGGCTCAGCAGCCAGCACGTTTGCCTGGCAGGGCATTTTGCAACCCCGACAGTAATGTTCTGAGTTAGTTCAGGCTTGACTCGTGCTGTTAGGGACTGCAATTGGCTGGTCCCTTTCTGCACGAGGACGAGTTCAGGCCTGTTTCTATGTGAAGCATCTGATATTCTGTGTGGGTGAAAACATCTGACTTGCAATCAAATGTTTTATTTCAGCCTGCACAGAAAAGTTGGATGCACAATGTCTGGTTTCTATGAAACTTCCATTGTTTGTTACATAAATGTGACAAAATGTCCTCAAGCATCTGTGTCCACTAAGATTCCAGTGTTGGATGGCAGTGTATTATTACACAGTACACAGTACGACGACAGACATTCAGGTCAAGGATTAATAAAACTCTCCTTTGCATCAGTCTGAGACTGGGAAATGTTAAGTTTTTATTCAGCAGTTTAAAAAATGAAACTCACCTTAGATCATATGAACTGATCAAGAAAGGTTTATCACAGTCAGACAAAAAAAATCCTTTGTTCATATTTCATAAATAGCTAAACAATATGCTGAGGTCCAAATTTGTCCAAACCTATAATCCTATAATCCAAAAGTAAAGTAATGTAGGCTGCAGTGTGTTTTAAGATGTGACTGTAGGTCGTTTATTTATTTGGTGTCATTCATCCAGTACCAGATGCATACTATCTAATTGCACCTAATATATATATATATATATATGGTGAAAAACATTAAACCAAGCATTGAACCCTGTGGAACTCCTTGACTCTGGTGCATGAGGAAGATGTATCATGTGAAACTCTTCCTCACTCACCAGTGTTGTTGTTGTGCCATGCTCTGAAGACTCAGTGACCTGCAGCACATTTAGCTTATTATTGTGCATTAATAACATCAGTACACACTTTAAATGGGCTTTATGTTTTCAGTATGGTTCATTTAATTATTTAATAACTCAACATTTTCCTTCCAACTGGAATCCAGCTGGACTGTAGCCATTAACTTCACATATTGGATCTTAGAGACCTGGTGTATGGAGGACATTAAGTATTATGTTGTAATGGGAAGTTTGACTGCCTTCCTACAACTCAAACGTTTTTTATAAGTAGAAGAAAACAATCTTCTAGGTCTGTTTGTCTGTGATTTTGTTCAAATTTTTTAACATGTACAGATATTGAGTTCTGCTTGTTCCAATATGATGACTCCTGTGTCTCCTAACATTTACTGATGACTTGGATGGTGAAACAAGCTGAGCAGAGATGTGTTGAAAACATGTTTAAACTCATCGTGGCCAGAGGCTGGTGAAACAATGTGAACATAACACCAGCAGTGTCAGAGCTGGGTGCATTTTTTCATTTTGAATATCTGAATATATTTGGATGAAATCTGATCAGCTGTTATCAGTTATTTTGAAAGTCTTTTGATAGATCTGTACAGCTATGTGATGGTTGGTAATGATAAAGTATTATCATATAAATATATAGATGGAAAGAGGTATGCTTTTAAAGTGGGAGCTAAACCAAGCTTAATTAAAATGTACTGGTGTAATGTGTCATTACTGATGATTTTAAGGTTCAGTATACTTTGTTACGTTATATTATGTATCTTTTGTCAGGAGAGCCAGTGTGATGCTGCAAGTATTGCAAAAATAAATTATAAATGATTGTAGAAATAAATCAAATAATAAATCATATTTCTAATCATTTGTTTGTGTTTTGTTCTAATTATGTTTCAAATATGTAAGTCTCTTGATCAAATGAAATCTATAAGGTGTAATTTTGGTACAAATTACACAACCAGTCACTACTGGGAGTGTATTTTGTACTTTTTAAAACTCCTCTTAGTCTCCTGATCAATCTGGGTGATTACTGAACCTTGTGAATCTGACTGAATGCACAATCTCTCAATAAAAGCAAAAGGTGCCACTTTGAAGAATCTAAAACATATATTTTTAACACTTTTAAGTTTAATATATGGTTCCTTTTGTGTTTCTTCAAAGTCTGGGTGACTTCACTATTAATATATGATGTAGGACAGGGCTGTTCAACTAAACTGCTCCGGGGGCCACAGTTACTGCAGGTCAGCAGCTGAGGGGCCGAACATCCTGCAATTAAAGTTATGTAAATAAACCAAGTATTACAAAGATCTGTTACCTTTAAATTAGTTTATTTTGCTACATTTAATCATGAATACAACATACAGAACCTTATAAAAGTAGTGATAATTAAACATTAAAAACAAAAAGAACACATTTTGTCTCCTGTTTGAAACAAATATTTTAACATCTCTGACTTACCAAATTTTTAAACCAATTTTATTTTCACTTTCATCATTTTATCTTCAACTGCTTGTAGTTTTAACTGTCTTGAGTGTTTATAGAAATGTTTTTACCAGCTTGTAGCTGATATTCTGATGTTTCTGTAGATACCAAACATGTTTATGTTTAACTAAAACAACTTAGAGTCATTAAAGTAGAAAACCAGGGGTTTGGGTTTCAGAGATGAATGAAGCAATTGGCGGGCCGAACTTTGGTCACTCGCAGACCAGATGTGGCCCGCGGGCCGCCACTTGAATAGCCCAGATGTAGGAGAAAAAAACAAAAACATCAAATGAGAAAGTGTAAATACTTTGGCTGGTAATGTTGCTATCACATGTAGTCAGTTTCACTGGTAAATCTTTGATTTAAGCTGCTGGATTAAGGTTAAATTTGTACATTTTGTCACGTGTTGCACAACCTGTTTTCTTCAGATAGTTGTCTTATCAGAAAAATCTCAAGTCGTTTTCCAGACATCTAATGATGCTCCAGTTTAACTTCCAGCTTGTTATTTTGAAGCGAGATAAATCACGCTTTGCTGGAGACGTCAAGCAGGTTGTTTCGCTCCAGGCTAGTGTTTGCCAAGGAGAAGTTTTTTTTTTCAGTTTTCTTATTGCAGAAACGTTTGAAGGACAGATTGTGCCACACCTTTGACACAATTAGAAAGTAACTGTCAGTTTGAAAAAGGCTGCTGTTTTGATTAAAGTCTTAAGAGATTGCACAAATAAATACAGCTTGCTTGCACACATACACACTCGTGCATACAGTTTATTGCAGTTTAGCACTTTAAGCATTATTTCTTTGCAAACCTGACTGGTTGTCTCAGAAGGACAGAGGAACCTGCTCAGACAGTGGACAGCAGGTGCTGTGCACAGAAGACCTGGCAAAGCTTTGTTCTTGGGAGGTCCAGGGTTGTTTCTGCACAGCGTTTGTTGCTTACAAAGATGTCAGCACATCATGGTGTGACAGAGTTTGGAAAGAACAAGAAGTCCTGGAGCGATTTCTATCCAACGGGTTCATTTTCAAAAACTTCAAACACATCATTAATCTCCTCTGTGTTCATGTAATATACACTCAGAGAAGTACTCGTATGTGTTGCATATGCTATTGTTTAGTACAAAGCATTTTTATGTGTTGTGTTAATGTGTACATATTTATTATCTATTGTGTTTTTGTACCACCCTCTTTCTCTTCTTCTACTGCCTTAAACGGCATGCACAAATCTGCTTAACACTAAACTAATAAACTAATTATTGTTAATTAACAGACTGTTTGACATTAAAGGAAACTGGACTGAGTGTAGAAACTAACCATAGGCACGTTGATGAGAATAAATAGAGAGCTGGCTGACATGATGCTGAGAAAGAAGGTAAGTAAGTAAAGTTTTATTTATATTGCACCTTTTATAGAAAGTCTTTTTCTCTGCTTGGCCTTCAGAGGAGTCAGACGCTTTTTGCTCTCGCTCCCAAACCTCCCTTTTCCCTGCTTTGCAGCTGGGTCAAGACTTTCCTCTACCTGTCATTCGACGACAAAAGAATTATGGATCTGGACAACTGGTCTCTGAATGCAATTGATACTATTTTTTCCACTCTGAGATTGGAGTGAGGGGAGGGCAGCTGTCCCAGTGGAACCGTGGATGCAGGCTTAGTTTCTGGGTCCTGGGGGTGGAACCTGATCTGCCTGGCTCCTCTTTCCATTGAAGACGTCGAAGATATGTTTGTATTCGGATTTATGATAACTGGATTCCTGCTGATCGGCTGTGGAGGAGTCCCGGTTTATCGGGAAATGAAAGCGATCCTGACAGCAGTTCGGGCCTGTGAAAAGCTGTCAGGGACCTTGGATGGGATCTCCCGTACTGCAAACATACAGACTCAGATGCTGGGGGATATAAGTCGCAGACTGGATGTGGTTCTGATGAGGATCATAGGTCAGCAGCATGCCCGTGAGGAGTGAGGCTACACCTGGGTGAGGTTTCATACGGGAGAGGTGAGGTGGCAAACAAATCTGGAATTTTGGCATTTTTCGCAACACAGAGGCGCAGTTAAGACTCAAAGCAGAGAAATCAGGCTGCTTGCCCTAAAGATTTATGTTCTATAATTGGATCCCTTCAGCTTTGACCTTGGACGCAAGCTGAGAAAACCTCCCTGGAATAACGTGAGAAGAAAGCCTTGACTCCCCCCATCCCCACCCGCTTCACCTGTGCTTGGATCGGTCTGAAGGCCGCATTGGGTGGAGACAGAGAACTGAACTCTAGTGACTTGTGCTTTGACTGATAATAACTGGTGTGGACTCTGGAGGTCTCTGATCGGTTTCTGCACGAAGTCTGCCCTGGAAGTCACCGGCTCCGCTGCATCCCTCCCCATACCATGTGTTTTGACCCCACCCCCTCCTGATTGCACTGTTTTGCAGAGTACTTTTTTTGAGCATATGTCCGTGTGTCTTTTTTAAACTCACCCTTCCTACTGTGGTGTATTCAAAACTCCAAAGGTAGCGCACTAAGTTGTGAAAGACCCTGGACATTCGTTCCCCCCATGTTTGTCATGTATGTGTGTTTCTCCGGATGGATGTTCTAAACTGCAAATTTTGTTCTGCACTGCATCTTGATGTTGTGTGTGAATGACAACACTTCTGATTCTGATTCAGATAGAAATATATTCACAAGGTGCTGTACAATCGGGGGGCAGTTAAGAACGCCCATTCAAGAAGACACACAATGACAAACATGGGGGAACAGGTGAACTGGTCATGCAGCAACAAAGTTGTGATACCTTTAACTTTAATCTATCAATTCATCTACAGTGAGACACTTCCCAAAGGCACTACTCTGCACCCTGCTGCTGTTTTCTGGTGTTGACGAAGGTTGGACCTCAGAAGTTGCAGTGTTGATAGAAGCTTGGATCTGGGGGTTAGAGGTCGCATGCTCAGACTCTCTAGCCATCTTAATATTTGTCTGGTGTGCGCCACTACCTGATGCTATGCAGTTACAACTAGTGTGACCAGGTTGGTTGCAATTATAACAGATTAACCTCCCCTCAGGATTGCGTAGTGGAGGTCTACGTGGGTTCCTGCTGGGACCATTTCACTGGATTTGTAATCTCCGTTGATGGGGAAAGTCAGAGCTCTGCAGTGCTTGAAAAAGCTCTTCCTGCCTGCTTGCCAGT